ACTTCTTTCGTCACACAGGGATTCCTGCCTACATCGTGGTGCCCCGGACAGCCCCGCACTGTAAGCAAGCCGCCATCCGCGCCTACGGTGCCACACTGGTGCCGTGCGAGCCCTGCGACAAGGTAAGGGACGGCGGAGACTGGCCAGGGACACGGCCCAGCCAGACTGAGAGGTGACCATCTGCGCTCTTCCCTTAGTCCAGAGCTGAGACAGCAGCTCGCGTGGTCCAAGAGACAGGAGGAGTCATGGTGCACCCCAACCAGGAGCCAGCGGTGATGGCAGGGCAAGGGACTATTGCCCTGGAGGTGCTGGAGCAGGTGAGGGAAACACAGGGCCTGGACCCAGCCCGGGGCTCTGCTCCTGGCAGGCAGAGGCACAGCAAAAGGAGCACTCACGCTTCCTTTCCGCACAGGCACCCGAGGTCAATGCAGTGGTGGTTCCCGTCGGAGGTGGAGGAATGATTGCGGGAATAGCAGTTGCCATCAAGGTAGGCAATGCCCTGGAGGTGCTGGAGCAGGTGAGGGAAACACAGGGCCTGGACCCAGCCCGGGGCTCTGCTCCTGGCAGGCAGAGGCACAGCAAAAGGAGCACTCACGCTTCCTTTCCGCACAGGCACCCGAGGTCAATGCAGTGGTGGTTCCCGTCGGAGGTGGAGGAATGATTGCGGGAATAGCAGTTGCCATCAAGGTAGGCAACAGCTCATCCCGTGAGCTGCATCTCCCTGAGGGAAGGGCAGGGCTCCCAGACAGGCAGCAGCTGTGGAAATCTGGGTGCCTGGGGTCTGCACGGCAGCAGCGTGGCGTACTTGGCCCCCTGCGCACACGGCAACAGCAGACAGGCAAACACTAGTTTAAACCGAGCGGCTCCTCCTGCCCTCCGCAGGCTTTGAGACCAGATGTGAAAGTGTTCGCTGCTGAGCCATGCAATGCAGACGACTGTTACCAGTCCAAGATAAGAGGGGAACTGACCCCCAACCTTCACCCACCCGATACCATCGCAGATGCAATTAAAACCAGCATCGGACCAAACACATGGCCCATCATCAAGGATTTGGTTGATGATGTCCTGACAGTCTCGGAGGACGAAATCAAGGTAAACGCTCCCAGCTCCCTTCTCACGGTAGCTGCCAGCAGGCACCTGCCTCTGTCTGTGCTCTGCCCCTCCACTCTCCCAGGGCAGCACCAGCCCCTGCACACCACTGCAGCTGTGCAACACCCACAGTCTCCAGCTGGAAAGGGCTGGCAGAACCTCTGCTCCCCCTTCCCAAATGCTGCAGGGAGATGTGCACACGCAATGCCCTCCGCAGCCCTGGAGCAGCCTGTCCTTGCTGCTGGGATGACAGCTGCTGCTCTGTCCTGACAGCAAGCCACACGGCTGGTGTGGGAAAGGATGAAGCTGCTGATTGAGCCAACAGCAGGTGTGGGAGTGGCGGCCGTGCTCTCGGAGCAGTTCCGGGCAGTCCCCCGGGAGGTGGAGAACGTTTGCGTCGTGCTGTGTGGGGGAAACGTGGACCTGAGCTCCCTGACCTGGCTCACAGACCTCCCTGGGAAAGCAGAATGAGAACGGAGCGGCATCTCAAGCGACAGAAACCTCATTCTCAATTTGTACAGTCTGGTTTGCGCACTACTAAAAACAGATGAACAATCCCAAGTGTTTGAAAATTTTTGTGGAGGGATAAGGGAAGCTGGCGTTGGTCTCTACAGCACAGAGTCACTTGGTTCCACCACAAAGGGTCACTACTGGGGTCTGAAAACAAAGCAGTGCCTGTTTTCCCTTCCCTGGCCACCCTGCTCTGGGACAGGCCTCCAGTGAGCTGCGTTCAGTCAATCTCCCTGGCTGCTACTTTGCCCTTCTTTGTCAGCATCAACAACAACTTCCAGCAAATTCCTGTCCCTGAAACAGCAAAATCCCCAGACCCACTGCTACAGCAGGGCAGGAGAGAAAGACAACAGCCCCAGCAGGCCACGGGGTTCACAAGAAAAGGGGTGCACACAGCCTCCCCCTTCGGCCTCCACAACCGGCCACCACCAAGACACAGGCACTTAGATGATTTTTAAAACATTTTCCATTAAAATAAATAGCTGTAGCTGGTACCTGAGCAGCAGCTGGTGAGACAGCTGCCCCTGTACAGACCCCAGCAGTAACACGTCCAAGAGACCAGTGCTGTCCTTACTGTGCACGGGCTGAGAACAGCATCCAGGGAGCTAAGGCACAAACTGCGTTAGCCACGCCAGAGATTTAATCCATTTCCACCTCCTGCACTGGCAGCGCGCTCTCGCTCCTCACCCATGGCACGGGCTCCGGAACATGGGGGTCATAAGTCCATTTAGGAAAAACACGCTTGTAGAGGTTCAGAAGCACAGTGTCCTGGGACTTTAGCTGTCCATCGAAGTGGCACTTCATGTGACCATGGGTCCCTAGGCAGAGAGCAGAAGAGGCCATTAGCTGTCTCTCTTGCCCAGGAGAGCCACATCCTGCCCAGCACCACAGAGAGAAACACAGAACCAAACCTACCCAATGGCTCCTTGATGTGTCCTCTACGACCCCACTTTGTCCTCAGCTCCACCGGCTTAAACCACATCACATCCTCTGGAGATCAAAACACAGAAGGCAGGTAAGAAACAGGCTTTGCTGCACCAACACAACTGCTCCCAGAGGGGCAGGAGCTCTGCTTCCACATCCCCTCTTCCCACCACACAGAGACAGGCCATACCTCTGTTAAAGAACATGTATCGCACGACAGCCGTCTTGGTAAAGATCTTAAAAGGATGGCCGCTGAGCACCAGCCGCTTGATGACGATTCTGTCTGGGTCCACAGAAAGCAGAGAACCCGTGGCGATGAGGTCGTGCATTCCTAGGGCAGCACCACAGAAGGTGCCTCCATCACCTCCTCCCCCACCACGACTCCTTTCCCCAAAGTGTCCCAGGCCCAGAGCAAGCCCACAGCAGGGACAGGCAAAGGTGCCAGTGATAACGGGGACGGAAATGCATTAATCCTCTCAAACAGCATGAAGGGGACAGCTTTTGCAAGTCATACCTTCTGGATAGGTGCACTTGTGTGGTATGGCAATGGCCAGCTACCATTTGTTTCCCAGACACCATGTCTTCAGCACTTACCAACTTACCATTACTTCTCTGTTTAAAAAGAAGGACTGAGGCAGGAGGGAAAGTGATGGGAGCATAAACAGTCACCACCAGGGCAGCATCCGGGCGCAGGAAACGCTCCAGTTTGTGCTTATCAGCTAGGACAGAACAGCAATGATCAAGTTCAGGCCCACAGCAGCCCTCGAGCTCTGGGAAACCCCACCAAGCCCGTTCCTTCCTGGCAAACAGACTCTGCGCTTTAGGAAAACAGGTCACACACACACCGCCTCTGCTGGCACAGTGTCTGGGAATGAAGGTGATCCTCTGAGCTACCAGCTCACTGCGTGGAACATGCCACCACCTTGCCTAGACCAGGGAGCCACCTTGCTCAAGCCCTTCCACTCCCCGCTATTTAGTGCCTCCCCCTGGAAGCCTCAGAGCCTAGGAGTGAGTCTTCAGAAGAGTCCTTCAGCCAGGTTCAGACACCATGGCTAAGACATCACAGGCTTCCTGCCCTAGAAACCCCAGCCCTGGCGTACCTGTGCCCACCCCACCGGTCCCTCACAAACCTGAGGTGTGCTGGGAGAACAGGGGGGATGCTCGGAAGCGCCTGAACCCACAGTGAAAGATCAGCTCCTCCTTCGCCCTCACTGGCTCACTGTTGCTCGGATGCCGCCGCACCAGGAAATTCAACACAGACATCTGCAGGAGAGGCAGCACAGTGAGGGGCTGACAGCAGGGCTGGCAAACAACCACGGTGGCCAGAGCAGAAAGCAACGGGACACTGCAGCGGGGACAAATGTCCTTGACAACGGCTTCCCAAAAAAACACTGGTCACCAATGCAGACACCTCAGCCAGGCTCGGACACTTGAGCCTAAACACCCCTGGCAGCTTCAGCCTCCTCTGACCAAAGGGAAGGTCCTGCTTTGAAATGCGAACGATGCAGGGAGATTTCAACCCAAACCCTCTGCAGCCAGAACTTCTCCAACCCAGACAGCCTGAGGGAATCAGACAAGGAGCTGCACACCTACAAGGTATCAGCAGGGTTGTATTTAGTCACCTTTTGTTCGTGGGGAAGCAGTGAGAACAGGACTAAGGGCTTCCCTTCTTTGAAACTTTCCATCACGGAGACAGGGACATTGCAGACATGAAGCGTAACATACCAGCCAACCTGCCAAGAGAGGATCGGTTGTGAATACTTCTCTCAATAGATAACTCGGCCACCGCCCTGCCAAGTCCTTCCTACTAGGAGCAAGAGAAGAGGGAGTTACCGAGGCTCCTTCAGTCTCCTCTTTCTCAATTTGTCGGAAGAGGTGCTTTCTGGTTCGGGAGAAGTCCTGGAACTGGAAAATCCTAGCATAGTCCCTTGGGAGATTCTCTTTGGGGTCCCATGGAGAAGTGCGGAAGCTCTTCAGCCCCCTGTACTTCTGGAACCTAAAAACCAAATAACAGGAAAGACAAACTACTTCACAAATCAAGGTGTTTGGCCAGCACCTGCTGTGGTCCTCAGGGACTCACACCTTCAGAGGGCAAAGGGAGCAAAGCAAACCTTAGCTCTCAGAGAAGATCTTTGTGCAGGGAGAGCTAGAAACAGTAGCCAAGTCCCCAGATAACCTGCCCTTGCATCAGGGCTCTGCTGTCCTCCTCCCTCTCCCAGGTCAGGACCCAGCTCGCTCTGCCACAGGAAGCTGCCCAGGCCCACCTGCTGCCTCCCCTGGAAGCCTCAGAGCCTAGGAATGATTCTTCAGAAGAGTCCTTCAGCCAGGTTCAGA